TAACTGTCAATGATTATTTTTTATTTTTTCATATTTTATTTATACTTTGTAATCTAAACTAGTTGCATGATAAGCAACAAATTGCCAAGATGACTGAATCAAGTCAATAAAGTGAATCAACCTTTAAAGTTGGGCCTGCTCCTGTAAAGAAAAAAAAAAAGACCCCAATATCTAAAATTTGTGCTAAGGTCAGAGTAGAGCAATTTCCTGATGACTTATGCAGAATTTTATTATGCAAATTCTATCTCCATAGAGCTGACACAATCAAAGATCAAAAGATCATATCAAAATCTCATTTGACAAAAAAAAAAAAAAAAAAAATGCTTCAAAAGTCGGCTCAACTGAAATAGAAGACAATCACAACTTTTCATACTGGCCAGCATTTAATGTTACCCAGATCACTACTTTTTAAAAAGCCGAGTCAGAAAAAGCAATACTTAAAATAGCTTGATGGTTCCTTGCCTAAGGAACAAGTGAAACTACCTCCTGTACCAGTGGCAACCAGATGAAATTCCTGATTTAATACAGTCAAATATCACTCATAAGCAAGAAAAGAGCCATGGCCTAGCAGTAGATAGGATTCTAGAATTAGTAGATGGTCAACTACATCACGCCTCTTACCATAATTTGCACCTAAATCAGAATTTTATGAGAACTTCACTCGTTTAATTTGGACAAGCTTAGAAGAAACTAAGTTTCTGCTTACATGTGTTGTATATAACATGATGGAGGATGTAAAACAGTATTTACATACTGGTACATCAAAATCAACATTTGGCCTAGAAATTGATCGTCTTCTGTCTGAACTAGAAAACAGAGAGGGAGAGAGTTATCTCAAATTTCCAAGATTTTTTTCAGCATATCTTTTTCGAAACCAAATAAATACCTGGATACCAACCCTGTGTATAACTTTTACAAGGCAGTTCACCTGTTTGTGCCTAGACAGCTACCCTGTATAGGCCATGATTTAGATAGTTTTGCAGCCATCAAGGACTTGCAACGTGCTTCTACTGATCTTGAAGAATTCCAAATGTATGCAAATTACTAAGATAATTTACCAAATCCTTTTAATATCTCATTTTGGAATGTAATTAAGAGATTTCCTCTTCTAGAACAGATTGCAAATAAGATCATATGGATGTCTGTTACCAGTATAGATGCTGAACATTCATTTTATCAATAAATATTTACTCAGTAAACGTAAAGTCTTACTCTAGATAAAAAAAAAAAACTCTCAATGTTGTATTACAATGGAGATTTGAAGATTAGATACTTCCCAAATTAAGAAATTAGCAACTTTAAATTTGAGCAGTATTTCAACTTGGGATAAGTTGTTTTATTTAAATGTTGAATTAATATGTCTAATTTGTTTTTTGATATTTTGTTACAAAGATTCAGTTATTATGATTTAATTACAGTTTTGTAAAATTTTAGTCAAAATGTTTGACTTCATTCAGATATTTATTATTGAGATTCAAGTTATTTTTTAAGTAAAAGCATTTAGATTGATTTAAAATGGATTCATAATATAAAAATCACATTTAAAGTGTCATTTAAATGTGATTTTGATATTATGAATCAATTATAAATCAATCTAAATACTTAAACAAAAACAATTTGTGTTTTGAATGCATTCTTAAAGAAGGAAGCTCTGATTAAAAGTTCTACCTCAAAGATAATTATGCATAGTAATATTTCATTGTTTTAATGTCTAGCCATTTTACATTTTTTTTTATTTATTTTTACACAATTTATTTTTGGACTTGGATTTTAACATTCAAAAAAAGATTTGCAGATATTTGCTATTTTTTTATATGCAATAAAACTTTGAATTATGTTTTTGTTTTAATAATAATTATAGCATATTGCAATGTTCTCATAAAATACTATAAAAAATGAAAAAACAGAATTTACTAAAAGTGGAAACAGAATCAACGAAAATTTGAAACAGAAAATCTGGGACCCTACAGTGTGCATTTTATTGAAGTTATTATTTCAAAGCTGCACTTGGGCACAAAGAGATAAAGGTTACCATGGCCACAGACAGGAATTATGTAATCTTGCTTGTCATATACAATGTGTATACAGAGGAGTCCACTTTAGAATTCACCATCAATCCCAATATTTTAAGATCTTGGGAAAGCTGAATCAACCCTATGAGTCCCAACTGAGGAGGAAAAAGAAAATCAGATGACCCATAAGGCTGGTATTAACTAGCAGAGCTAGCAACTGAGAAGAGGAGGCAAGGAGGGAAAGAAAAGAGTGGAGTGTGAATTGATAGGGGTATAGGTTATAAGTGAACATCCAGACAAATGTTCATGGAAGTAATTGTTCATAACAGATGGCTTGTTAAAGAAAGACCCACCCCTTAACCCATATATATTTACAACAAAATCAACTTTAATCTGAACACAAAACACCTAATCCAAATAATTTGTCATCACCAGAAATTGAAATCATTTATAGTTGTTTTAACACCAGAAATCTAAACTGATATGAAAAACTAAACGAAACATGAATTTTTAGTGCATTTGACACTATTCCAAGTTGAAAAGTACTCTTTGAAAATTCAAAATGCAAGCAAGAGGAAGAGTATTGTTTATAACTTATTAATTTCACTTATAAAAAGCTATAATTAAAAGAATGGAAAATGAGAATGATTTGATGTGCATGTATAATATTTCACCAAGGAATGTAACTTATCCACACTGTATATCCACTAGCTATTTTGAGATATTAGAATCATCTTTGCAGTTGCATTAATAGTTTTGAAGTTGATAATTTAAACTGTACACATAATACATTCACAATATTTTAAAATTTATATCAATTATTTTCATTAATTTTCTATGGCTATGAATTATAGCTTAATTTGGTATAAAAGTCAGCAAGAACTTTCATAAATTATTTTTTCTCAAGTATATTTCAATAAGATTGTTCTTTATAAATATTTTTATTCAAAATTTAACTGGTATACACAAGATTATGTGGTAGATATTTTGTTCATATATTCCCCCTTGCACATTTTTTAGAGTTTATTGTATACTCAAATTTAGTCTTCTGAAAAGCAGAATGAACAATCCTTACAGCAGTAAAATTATTTTTAAATTCATGAGCCAAACTTAGTGTGTGTTTGTGTGTGTATAAAAAAAATGAATAAAAAAAATAATGGTTAAAGTCAACCATCGAAGGGAGAAAATTATTTCTAGTGTTAAATTGCATTGACAGAACCAATCTCAATACCAGTTATTTCTATCCACAAACATTTAAAAAAATAAATGAGAGATTAAGCAAATATGCTGTTTCATAACCAGATTATTTTACTTAAGTTTTTTAGAGTATAAAAAAAAATTAAAACAACTGTCTAGTTAACTTCCTTTGACCCCATCTAAGACAGCTTATATCACATGGCCCATCTAAGACAGCTTATATCACATGGCCCATCTAAGACAGCTTATATCACATGGCCCATCTAAGACAGCTTATATCACATGGCCCATCTAAGACAGCTTATATCACATGGCCCATCTAAGACAGCTTATATCACATGGCCCATCTAAGACAGCTTATATCACATGGCCCATCTAAGACAGCTTATATCACATGGCCCATCTAAGACAGCTTATATCAATGGCCCATCTAAGACAGCTTATATCACATGGCCCATCTAAGACAGCTTATATCACATGGCCCATCTAAGACAGCTTATATCACATGGCCCATCTAAGACAGCTTATATCACATGGCCCATCTAAGACAGCTTATATCACATGGCCCATCTAAGACAGCTTATATCACATGGCCCATCTAAGACAGCTTATATCACATGGCCCATCTAAGACAGCTTATATCACATGGCCCATCTAAGACAGCTTATATCACATGGCCCATCTAAGACAGCTTATATCACATGGCCCATCTAAGACAGCTTATATCACATGGCCCATCTAAGACAGCTTATATCACATGGCCCATCTAAGACAGCTTATATCACATGGCCCATCTAAGACAGCTTATATCCCATCTAAGACAGCTTATATCACATGGCCCATCTAAGACAGCTTATATCACATGGCCCATCTAAGACAGCTTATATCACATGGCCCATCTAAGACAGCTTTATATGGCCCATCACATGGCCCATCTAAGACAGCTTATATCACATGGCCCATCTAAGACAGCTTATATCACATGGCCCATCTAAGACAGCTTATATCACATGGCCCATCTAAGACAGCTTATATCACATGGCCCATCTAAGAAGCTTATATCACATGGCCCATCTAAGACAGCTTATATCACATGGCCCATCTAAGACACTTATATCACATGGCCCATATATCACATGGCCCATCTAAGACAGCTTATATCACATGGCCCATCTAAGACAGCTTATATCACATGGCCCATCTAAGACAGCTTATATCACATGGCATTTTTACATTACAACATTACAACCCTTTAGGTACAAGAAGCTCAAATTCTATAAATTTGAATTTGTTTAGGTAAAAATCAAGTCAAGTAAAATAGTTAATGAAAAATAAATGCAAAAGGTTTTACTATTACTTTATATATTAAAATAACCTTTAGTTATTCTTTCAAAATTTAAACTAAAAAAAAATTTTAAAAAATGGTAACAATGCATATTAACCGAAAAAGATTTTAAGACAGAAGCTATATATCTTAGTTTTGTTGAATTTTAAATACACAACCTTAATTAATCAACCTTCATAAGAAAAAAAATTAAAAAGAACTCGTTCTTAAGAATTTACATATTTATCAAGTGCTTTCCATTTACAACTGTATTGAATGTTACTTTCCTGTAGGCACGATTATCTACATGCTAGCTTCAAGATTTTTATGGCTGCCTAAAATGTAAAAATTCTAAAATATTACTTGGAAAAATATTTTTATTAATACAAATTTAAACTTGCAACTTTAAAACAATTGTGAAAATTATGATTCCTGTGATAAACTTTGTTAACTCATCTTTTACTTACCTTCCATACTCCAATGATACACTGCTGTGTCTGTAACAAGAGCAACTGTATTGACAGAAATCCATTTCCAAAAGGTAACATCTTCAGTCATAGCATGTGCTTTCATTTTACTTTTCATCTCTATGTTGAATATCTGTAAAGTTTTGCCAGCTGAAAAAAAAAAAAAAAGAAAAAAAAGTGTAAATTCAAAAGCACACAACATTTAGAATATTAATATCACTTTCACTTAATATCAATATATTAACTATAATTGTTTGCCTTGATATAATTGTTCCTAATAATGAAATGAAACTTACAAACACAAATCTACAAAATATACAGATACACGAAATTCTTAAAATCAATTTTAATATAAATTATCAGAGGTACCCATTCTAAACAGCTGAAAATCAAACCAAAATATGCAACAAAACTTTTTGTAGTAGCTAACATAAGATATGTAATGTTACCTGCATCATCATAAGTCAAAAGTATTTGGAAAGGAGGTGCCTTTTTCAAAACCTCTGTAAACATGCAAACTGTAAAAACTTAAGACAAAAAGGATTGCAAAAAAAAGAAAAAAAATTTAAATTTAGTTTATTTACTTCCAATATAATTAAAGAAGCCTGAGTTAATATGTGCAAAGCTAAGTGGAAGAGGATTAAAAAGGGGTGGGGCATATAAAACACCAATTCCCCAAACAGCCAGATTCATGAAATTGAAATAGGTTTGCTAGTAGCAACTTTAAAATACAACTGCTCCAACTTAAAAAACTTGTGGTAAAAACAGTTAAAAATTTGCTCAAGAATAATGAGCATCAGTTATGATATTGAAGCAAATGCCAAATTTTATACTAAAAGAAAATTTCTAAATTCAATTGGTTACAAAGTTATAAAGAAAGAAAAAAAATAAATAAATAAATAAATAAATAAATAATTATTTATTACTTTGTTCCTAAACTTTGGAATCATGTTAATTCCCAACTCACTTCAGAAGACTACTTCCAGATCTCATTAAAAGTTTTGTCAGAATTGAGATGACTTTACATTATCTCTACTTTGACTATTTTCCTCATCTATGCTATTACAATGTTTCAGACACTGTATCCTCCAGCATTCTTCAGGTGCTTGTTGATCTAAGTAACTTTCAGGAAATTTCAAACCAAATCCGTTATCTACAGGAGTAAATGTTCTCATTCCAGTCTAGGATGGACACACACATTAATCCACTATGCTAATGAATGAAAGCATTGGTTTGTAAATTTAGCAATAGTAATTAGGAGTTCAATCCCTAGGGTGGGCAATGCAGATTTAAACTGTTATTGCTCACCTTGTTTCCATTGGTCAGTACTAAAATATGAAGAGATATCCTTAAACATGGACAACAGTGTCGCTCCATAGATTAAATAAAAGGAGTGGTTCAAAATTCCCAAAATGCCTCTTTACACTGTAATGCTTTTTGTAATAAATTTATCTTATTTTGCAAATTTTTTGTAATTTTCAAACTCTCAAAAACAGGACAGTAATGACTACAAAATTTAGAAATTGGTTTTACAAAAGGAAAAAACTTCAGTTTTAAACTGATAGAAAAGAATTTCTGGTCAGTGTGAATGGTTCTTCTACACTTCCTCTCCTACTAAATTTCCATATAAGCCACTGATATGGCTAATATTTCTGGAACACTTAATCACTTGAAACTAGCATTACATCTCATAAATGTTTCCACTTGTGCAATATCTGACAAAGGTCATCAGAAAATCATTCCTGATCTTTCTTGGAGCTAAAAACTATCACAGCCCTGAATGGAGATATGATTAATGACTTAGCCAATGTAAAAGTTGGAATCAATATAATGCAACCCATTGGCCTTGGTGCACAAAGTCACCCAAGGTGGTTCTCCATCACAACTCAAATTGTTTCAATACTTAGAATCACTGAGTGCTTTTCCTTTGTTTTAGAGATGAATCAACTGATTTTCCTGTCATCAAATAGTACCTGAGATTTACTTCCACTGGTCAACACCAGTGGAAGTAAATCTCAGCTACTCAACCCAAGAGAATCTTCAAATATCAGTGTCAAATTCTTCAGTGTTTCCAAGCCACTGCTTGACACTAGTTGTACATCTTTAATAGACCTCACAGGACCACTATGTTTGAGTGAGTTAATGATTCCGTTTCTCAACAACAGCTTAACTCTTTTGCCTCTCATCTTTAGAAATCCTTTCTTGTATATGAAAGTTCGTCATGAACCTTATTCCAGGTAACTTAAAACTGAAACATTTTGGTTTAGAGTTGGGACTTGCATAGTTTAAAATTTCCTTTCCCATTTGACACTAAAAATCTACATTTAATATTTTTTTTTTTAAATTAGACTTGTAATTTTCATTACAATTCTTCCAATTGCTGTTTGCAATAAAGGATTTTTTCTATTAAATGAAGATATGTTCTAAGAATTGAAAAATGTAATGATTAATACTAAAAGTTTTGTCCAAAATGTCAGCTTGAATTTATTTTAAAAATAAATATTTTATACAGTTTTAAAATGCATTATTAAAGAATATATAAGAAAAATATTTAAACTGTAATATACATTGATCAAGCAAGTCTGATTTAAAATGGTGTTTCAGCTAGCAATGTCACTATTAGTAATACCAATTTCCATATGTAAAACCAAACTATTTTGTACAAAATGAGCACATTTGCATGTGCCTTGGAATAAGGATGCAAAAATATGAAACCAACAAGGTGTAAGTTTCATTTTTCTTTTAAGAATTGAACCCAATTTTTTAAACTTAGAAATTTGTGAAAGACAGCCTTGAATCTTGTGATTCACCCACCAAATTGACACACAGCTTTTTTTTTCTCTCTAAAATGGTACTATTTTCATATGTGTAGACATAACTAGTGCAGCTAACTTGAAAAACATCACTATGAAATAATCAACTTTAAAAATATGGTGGGGGGGGGGGGAACCTCATTGAAATAGTGATATAATTTAAAGAACGGGGGGGGGGGGGATAGTCACACATCAGAAAGAATTGTATCTTTAGGAGAAAATATTAAATTTTGTTTACATACCGATTTTATCAAAATAGCCTCGAAAATAAAGGAAAACTCAAAAGTCAAAATGGAAGGACATTTCACTATTTTGACATGCTTTCATACCATAAACTAGGGCACCTTGGGATATCTAATAAAAACATTAATTTTATATACAAAAATATTTATGTCTCTCCAGGAACCTGTACCTTCTCTATAAGTATGTGTATACATTTTCTTTGTTTTTTTTTCTTTCAATTTTCCTCAATCACTGAATAGCTTAATTACAACATTTCTGTCAAAAGTCTTAATTGATGGCAGCTAAAAAGCCAAGCAGATACTATACACTGATTTTAGATAGAAAAGTCATAAATACAAACAGAATAGTTTTTTTTTTTTTTATAGGCTACCTATTGATACCATACAAAATTGAGGTAGAAAACTAAAGTGATTTTGCAACTAAATTTACATCATTAAATTTGATGTAATTTATCAATACTTATCACTGCTTAAGAACTTTCAGTCACCTTTGTGATTTTTCTTCATAAATGCAGAAAAAATTCTGCATGGACATGTTCAAGAAATAGATCAATAAAGAGAAAGTAATCTGTGTAGCATTCTGTTCAATGTATAAATGAACAATCTAAAATTAAGGGCCTAACAAGCAGAAAATGTCCATATTAAAAAAATAAAAATGATCAGCATTAAATGTGGTTTTAAAACTAAGTCTTCAGAAATTTGGAAAAAAAAAAAAAAATTGATTGTCAACACAATATGGCCACATTTCCTTAAAAAAGCCAATATTATATTTCTTTGCTTAGAGCACCACCAATATAAATTTGTACCAGAGTGAAACTAATAGTTGCATGATTTGTTTACAAAATGGATATTAGTTTTATTAATTCGGTTTAATAATGGATTAAAATCAATATAGGTAATACTTTAAAAGATAAAAATGAAAGCAAACTGAGATAGGAGAGATTATATTAATTTCTATTTTTGCTATAGTGGAGATGCTCAAAAATGTGTATGTATAAATATTAATTTAGGATAATTTTTTACCTCTAGTAAAGAGGAAGATGGAGATTTTTTTTTAGCATTTATACTTTTGCTATAAAATTTAAAACAGTACCGTTTTTTTTTTAGTGCCATTCAGCTGAGAAATCAGATATTTACAATTGTATAAAGAAATATTGAAAAGACACAATTTTATCCCTTTTGAAGATAAAAGGGAATGAAAAGATACCTCTTTATGGTGATATTAGCATAATATATTTATAGAGCTAAACAAAAAAAAAAAAAAAAAAAAAATACAAGTTATTGGAACACCCTTTATATTGAAATGGTAAATTCTTAAAAATAAAAACTCACCTTTTAATGCAATGACTTTACTAGCTGGGTTCATGATGGCAGAATCAGCAGAGATAGGCCGTCTGATAGGATTAGTAGCATCATTCAAATCGATGATAACCACTTGAGCAGTTTCTCCAACTTTTTCTCTGATACAAATATATTTATCAGACTCCATAGTGAGAGTACTGAAACCAATATTTGATGCATTGATACCCACATTTTGGAGCTGAGGAGAAAAAAATATATGCATGTGCAGACATCAAGTATTATCAACAGCATATACAGATAACTTGTATGAAAACCAAATCTTCATAACACCTGTAATATATATTTTCTCAGTACTATAGTTTAAAATTGGAAATAGAGAAATTCATGAATGACTATTTTAGTGAAAGAAATTTTTAAAATCACAACAGAACCAGGCTCTTTCATTTTCATAATTTAATATAATTTTAAATAAATACAACTGATTCTTAAAAAAAAAAAAAAAAAAAAAAATTTACTAACAAATTTTTGTTAGTAAATTTTTACATTTAAGAATAGTTTATTTTCTAATTTTGTGGCATCTATAATTACCATGAAACCATGAATTTGCACTTGAAAGGTCTTGTTTACCAGAAAATAGGCCTGGACAAGATTGTATGCAACAAGTTTACCCTTTCTATGCCACTGAGGTTGGCCAATAGGAGAACACTGTTACAGTTTGATACAGAAGATACTAGAACAAGATTGAAAATCTTAAGACTACCTAAAAGAACTACAACCCTGGATTTGTCCTCTGGGTTTACACCTGAATCTTTTTCCTATAAGGGGGGAGTAGGACTGCAAATCAGCAGGTCCTTATCCTAGACTAAGGTTAGAAAATCAAGCTATTTTTTCTATAGCTAGAGGAAGAGATGGATTCATCTTTTTCAAATTGTCTTGGACAGAGTTTAAACTCAGCTCAGATTCCATTTTCTTTGATGCTAACTCATTTTAAAAATATATTTTAATATTAAAACACTGCAAAGTGCTGAAGAGTTCTTAGTCTAACCTACTTCCCAAACTGACCAAATAAGATTTTTTCAACAGAAAAAAAACAAAAAAAAAAACAACATACATACTTTTACAAATTGTTAAAAATATATAACAATTTTAAATCAGGAATTTTTTTTTATTTTTATTTTTTAAAATTAAGAATTTCATGAAATAAAATAGAGTGTTACTGAAAAGTTTTCAAATCCACTTTCAAAAATTTGATCAGACATGGGATGTTTTTATGGTAAAAGCATTTTCTGGTCCAAGAATTTTTCAGTATTCCCACTTTTCCAGAATCAAAATAAATACTCTGGTGCTTGTTGATCCAGGTGACCTTCATGAAATTTTGAACCAATACTTTTATTTGATCTACAGGGGTAGATTGTTTGTGTTCTAGGGATGTTTTATCTAGTATTGCCTAGTTATATTGCATTGTTTCCACTAAGTTCAAGTACACTGCCTGGCACAGGGATTGAACTCACAATTATTACATCACTAAATTCACAAAACAATGCTTTAAATAATGAGGCAAGAAATAACTGAGTAGTACTAACATGATACAAGCTATGTTTCATCTAATTTTTATAAATTAATTTGCTATATTCATTTTAACACCTGACCAAATTTAAAAGTACGCTTTCTCAAGAAAGCAGAACAATTCATAAATAAATAAAAGTTTGAATCACTAATATTCCAAAGGAGCAATGGCATTAACTAAATACATTTATATTTTACTGATAAAGATAGTAAAATTATGATCAAGAAATTTAACAAAGATAAAAAAATGCATAATTGTCATAATCACATAGTAGGAAATTTAAGATCAGTTTGAATTTAGTGATATTATATGAGATAGCATATATAGAATGAAAAAGCAAAACATAAAAAATTGCTTTAAAAAAAAAAAAGGAAGTTATTTGGGCATTTAGTCATTTAATATCTTTACACCAGTCAAGCAAATAACTTTTTTACTAAACAATTTTTTTTTATTTACAAAACTCTTAGCAATTATTCTAAGCTTCTGAGAATTATAGAATCACTATTATGCATGGAGGAAATTTTAAAACTTTAAAAATGCTATCATTGTATGCATAACAGTTTTATGTTGAAATACAAGCATATAATAGGTTTATATCATCTGTCTCCCATCAAAAGCAAAACAGCACTTTCTAAACTCACAATTAAAACACTAAAATTTTATTGAGACTAGCAAGCAAACAGATGAGAATTATCATTGTGAGCTGACTTTTCTTAAAGGATTTGATAAACAAAGTTAAGGTGCTCAGATATTAGAAAAGGGCAGAAACTGGAATGAGTTTTCTTTGTTCCCCATTTCACAAAACTTTCTTATAATTTGAAAGATTTTAGTTCTTCATTATGGAAAACATCTTTCCTGTTATTTTTGCAACAAATGTTAATTGCATGAAAATGTATTTTGTAGTTACTAAATATTAGACAAGTATGAAACAATTTGGTAACAGAAATAGTATAGTAATATATCAAAGGTTAATAACCAATGTTTAATATTAAACATTAGATAAATGTCAGCTACTGAGATACAATGAATTTTGAAGTAAATGTGATAAGAGCTTCATTCTGGCCTTGGCTAAAAAATTCAGATTTAGTTTTGTAAAGGGACATGGCATAGGTTATTTGCCTTTAATAATTTCAAAAATTCAAAGATATCTCAAATTGAAGTATTTAATAGTTCAAGTTTCATAACATTAACTGAAACATAAAGCAATAATCTTATTCTAAACAGCTTTAATCATTCCTGAGTTGCCATTAATCGTTAGTAAAATCAACCAGATTAATATTTTTATCTGAATTTACATACTAATTTTTTTTTATCCCTAATTACAATTAACATTTTTCTAATCTTCTGGTTGAGTTTAAATTTTGATTAAGAAAGATTATAAATAGCTTTATATCAATGGCTAAAACAATGTTTGTTGTATAGTATAATAGACTCCATATCTATCGAGGTTAGTGACCACTTAACAAAAAATTACTGAACCAAACCAACAGATATTCCTACCTAATTTATCAATTTTTTAAATATGTATGCTAGTGTTCAAAGCTAGCTCCATTTGGCACTGACAATCAGCTTTCTTTCCTTTTGCACTAACATTTTGTCAAACAAAATTTTGCATTTTATTTTTACATTTTTGTTTTAAGTCTTTTTGTTGCCAATTACATCATTGTTTAAAGAGTTTTTATCAAATATTTTTATCCTTTTTAGAACCTTTGAAATTTTGGTTATTTTTTTTTTTTCGCCAGCACGTCACCAATTAGTATGGGAAATAGGGTCTTTTTGTACTGAAAAACAAACTAATTTGAAAATTCTTGAAAAAAATCTGATAATGGTCTTAACTCTTAATGAAACTTTCAGGACATTAACAAATAAATTTAATTTTTAAAATGTTTTGTTTTTAGGAAATATTTGTAATTTTTTTTATGAAATCAAATTTTTGTAGGGTTTAATGTTTAGTTATACGAAGTCCCCGGAGAATTTTTAAATCATGAAATTCTTTTTTGGTCAAACAGGACCCCCCCCGTTAAAGAAAATTTGCTTTGAATCGTAAAATTGAAAAAAAAAAAAAAAAAAAAAAAAAAAAAAAAAGAAAGAAAAAGAAAAAAGCAATCTGTTGTCTTAATGAATTTTTACAAGAATAGTTTTCATTTTTTTTAATTAGAATAATTTATAAACAATTTAAATCTTTTGTTTTGGGACTGATAACTAAAAATTGCTGATCACGTGTTCTCAAAATGTTAAGACTGACGATGGCGGATTTGCAAATCGTGAAGTCGATTTATCTTGTTACTCCAGTTCTGCATCTATATAATTTGAACCATGTTGTACTAGTAACCAAACAAGCTAAAAAAACAAGAATACAACAAAAAAACTAATAAACATACAAGCAGCTGTTATTTGTAAGTTATGCCAACAGAAAAAGCGATCCTAAACTAGCGTTGCAATAGAATAAATAATTCAAAACAATCTCAGCTTATCTTCTACCATAAATTCTAAAAATAATAGGTGGATCTGCTATTCAGAGGTAATAATCAGTTTGGTAAAATTTTCATGGAATTTAACGGTATGTAGAAATGTTTCAGTTTTGAAATTTTTTCTCAAGCAATGACTTTCCTATACATTTTTTTATTTTTTCAATAAACTTTACACATACACTATCGAAGAGTTTTTTTTTAATTAAATGCTTTTTTTCTATTAGTCTTGAAATTAAAGTTTTTAGTTTAATGAATTAATTATATTGTCATGCCAAAAACAACTTTGGAGTTAACAGCTATAAAATAAAAGGTCGATATACGCAAAAAACTCAAACATCGTTAAGAAGACTTTTCAAGCTTAACATTAAAAATATCTTCACACAAGTATTTCATTTGATTTAGTAGTGACTTCTTAAATACTTGAAGATATTTTTAATATTTTTCATCACACACAAAAGAATGAAGCTGCACAATATTTAATTATCTATGCGCAAATATCAAATTTCCGAACATGTAACAAAGAATTAAAAGATGAATATTACCAAACTTCGGATTAAAAATTAACCAGCCTGTCTAGATTTCTAATATAAATATTTAGACAAGTTAGTAGTTATATAACAAAAAGTTATCCATCAATTCACAAACAGAAATTGAGTTTCATTCTGTTCTGAGGAGTAATAATCTGAATAAAAATATTTTTAAGTTCTAAGTTTAAAACGTTCATACGCCAGTGATAATTAGTAGTAGTGAGAGGCATTTCTTACTATCGCCTTTTTAGTTATAAAAACAATCAGGCATTCAATATCTTTATTTTACCTAGTTTAGTACAACATAACATTTTTATTACCTAGTTACTATGGTTCAAATATTTTTTATTAAAGATAAACAAATTAAGACATGCAAATTAATTATGCTATTTTTTATTTTAAAAATTTCAAACTTAAAAAAATCTTTAAATTTATTCTTTTAAAAAAATGAAAAGATCTCAAAACATGTGTTCCAAATTTAAAAGTTTATTTATTCCATTGACACCCGTGTTCTGGAAATTTGGATTGCCATTTCATTTTTTTTTTCATTATCAACGAAAAAATTATTTTAAAAAATGGCTAATTCATTTTTAGGCTCAGCTCCTAGCAAAATGTCGAGTAAGTGTTGCAAGCATTTGAAACGAGAATATGATTAAGAAAATGTAAGCAAACTACAAAAAGTAAAAGAAATGTTTATACAAAGATGCAAGTTCCTCAAATCGAGGTCCTTTGAAAGGTAATTTACTTCAAAATGATTTGGAGGTAGTAAATTGATTATACTCATGACTCATGCCATAGAATTTACTCACTGGCCATACGACCTGCAATTTTAAACATCTACAATTTTAAAAAAGCTGTATAAGGTCGATAAAAAAAAAATCTCATCAAGAGATATTTAAAAAGTTACTAAAAATTCTGTTTTGGTAATTTATTAAAAACCGTATGGCGAATAAATTGTTATACGCAATTTTCAATTAACACTGAGGAAGAAAGTGGCGTTTAAATACATTCGAGTTAATTTTCGACAAATTACTAAAAACAAACAAAAAGCCAAGATCACTATTTCTCTAACAGGTAACACTAACAGTTAACGTACGGTAACAATAACATCGAGCAAGATGCCAATGACAGGCAAAATCGTATAAGATGTTCATTAAAACATTTTTTTATAGTGTTCTCGAAGTTTTCACAAATCGATGACTTTCTGAACTATGACCACTCATGTCATCAGTAATACAGTAATTCAGTTATTTAAAGCAATTAAAAACACGAAAAACAATGTACCTAATTTGTTATATATAATTTTATGTCATAGATGGATTTTTGTTTATGGTAACTTCGCTTTTATAAACACTTGTCATTTTATTTTAGCCTTTAAATCCTATGACAGCCGGTTTGCAGAAGAGCAGCCATGATACACCTGACGTGGACAGTACAGACTTGTTTTTCCTCACTATGATAATGAGGTGATACCAACCAGTTCCATGACCCATTTAAAGTGCTTTATGATTCTGTTCAGATAGTAAGTCAACACTGCAAGCAATAATAATTAAATGTAATAATTAAGAAAAAAAAAAAAAAACAACGTTCCCGACACTTTTAATTTTCAAAAATCGAAAATGATTTATAAAACAAAGAAACATGAAGTGTACACACACTGATGTGTTCAGTACTTAGTTTACTTGACAATGTCAATAAACGAGAATGAGACATTGTAAGATGAAGAACGAACTAATTAATTCATCATTCGAACTTCGAAGAGTAGTTTTCAAGCAAATAGCTGCAGTGAAACAAGTGGCTACATAGAAAGAGCAAACCAAGATATTTCTATATTCAAACGGCAACTTCTGCTTTTTGAGCAATATCATCGGCAGTCAAATTTATTATCCATTGATAAATCGAATATTTTTACAACCAACTTAGAGTATAAATAAACTGAAGATCATAAAACAAAAAGGTAATTCAGATGACTTCATATTTAGATTTCACATTAAATCCGAAAGAGTAGAAATACAACTATATTGGAAAAAGGTCGATAAAATTTAAGAGTGAAGCACCGCACTATCGACAACAGAACACGCCCCCACACGGCTACGTAGCTTTGACCTCTAAAATACATCGAATCATTTCATAGTCAAGACACTTTTGAAATTAAACGAAAATAACTTTCAAATGTTTATAAAAATAAATTAGTAGCTATAGTTTGTATAAACACGAACAATGAATCACTAAGTCTTTCTGAATATTGTAATTAAAGGTCTAAATTTATAATTTAATCAACAAAAATAGCTCACTAAGTTATGGATGAAAATAGCAAATTAAACTGAAAATAAAATTTCAGATACAAGATGAAAGTAATAAATTAATCTCCTCGTTTTTAAGTGGCATGTCAAAGTTCGTACTAGTTGCAAAGAGCGGTTATAAATAGTTAAAAATTGAGTTGAATGCTGACTTAAAAATGTTATTTGATTTTCGAAGCACTTCATAAATGCTATCTTAAATTTACAGGTGGTAACGATTTTCGCCTTATAATTATTTCCGTTGCAATAATAATGAAGTTTTTTCATAAATACATTTTTTATATACAAAAGAATAGCTTTGAACTGATAGATAATCATTTCTTTTAAAAGCCATAATTAAGCGATCACGCCATCGCAGCAGATGAGAGGGAGAAGTAATGGCATATATACAAGGGGGGCGTATCTCGTCACAGCACTAGTCATTAGAGCACATAAAGACTTATACAAAGCATTTCAAAATAAATACTAAACAGGTTTACTAGCAATACACGAAGAATAGAGTTAAAAACCAGTAGTAAAGGCCAACAGTGACTGATGATTGAAAAGTGAGGGATTCTTTTGTAATAAACTTACTTCATTTCATGATTACATTTTTATGCAACTACTTCGCAATGTCCCATGAAAGATCACTACTACAATAATAATAAAGTCATAGCCTATCTTTCTAAATGAGGCGTTTATTTAACAGTCAGATTATAATTTTATAAACTTTACACAAACGGACACAGTCAACCTTCTGCGTCATGAGTCATCTGTGAATGAAGGGATCGGTTCAGAGATATTTTAATCCCAGTCCACGTAATATTAAAATTTTAAAACTAAAAGCCATTTTTACTTAATTTCTTTTTTTTTTTTTTTCAACGTCACAAGGGGCGTATTTCTTGAATTAAAAAGATAAATCTTTACAATAGACATTAAGTTTTTCGGAATATTTTAACACTAAACAATTTTCATGCATACATTTTTGCTCATTTTTACAATAAGGTCGATTTGCAAACGATATTAAAATGTCCAGTTGGTAAAAAAAAAAAGCTAAAAAGAAAGACATTTCGAAAAGTGATTTCTCGTGAGACATGATTATTAATATAGATTTTCATAAAATGATATCGTAATTTGATCAGATTTCAGAGTAGAAAAGCTTTCAAAAACAGTAAAGAAAAAGGAAAATACATCCTAAAAAGAAAACCTTATCTGATCATCCTCATATAAGAAGACTAATTAGAAACAATACAAAGCCTACCTGTAAATGCTCCTGAAAACGTATTGGAAGTATTTGAGTCATCTTCCAATTCGCCAATAATTAGTATTTTCCGACACACCAGACCCTGAAAGTTGTGAATAAATATCGCAGAGAACTGTCCACCGGTGCCTAACTCCTCCTGGACTGTTCTTCCGTATGACTAAGATGGCGTCCACCGGACAAGTGAAAGACTCTTGAAAATAGTGCGTACACTTATATTTCTTAATATAACAGTATAAAAATTAGACAGATCTCTTTTGAAAATGCAAATAAATATTAGAAAAGGTTTATTTACAATAATATATGGCGATTTGTAAATTCTGTCTTTAACAATAACATAAAAGTAAAGAGTGTGTGATGGAACTATTTCTTGTTTAATAAACCGTCTGGGTCATCAACGCTTAATTCATGGCTGTGTGTGTAGGAGTTATGAATGGGTCGATATCATTACCAAACGTCATCAACCACTATTTGATACTAAAAAGTAAAAACAATCTATTCCGCTTTTGATTTTAATTATTTTTAATAAAGCATACTGCAGTAAGTACTAATAATTAACTTGAAAAATTTAGATTATTGTACAAATAAAATGTTTAATCTTTGAAACAACATAAAGTGTTAAAAATAAGACCATGAAAGAAAGAATTTTAATGATAAAATAAATGAAAATCTCATGATCGTTAATCGCTTCAGCTTGGAAGTATTTGTTTTGACTTTTCAATATTTTAATTCTTTGTTAATGTTGTATTTTACTTTTTGAGTTTATCGGATTTTTTTCATGAATCTAACAATTTGCAACTATTCGCATTTATGATAAATGAAATTGAAATCCGTTTTTGTTTCTGTTTATACTTTAGTTTTATTTACTTTAACTACCTGATGCTAGAGAGCGTGTGGTGTATGCAAAATATTCATAAAATAAATGACTTTTCGGATAATTTTCAAAGTTTTATACCCTTTAAAATTCATAATCATATCATTAATTCTTCTCTTTTATTACAGAAGCAAGCATTGAAATTGACTGCTTACTGACAGTGATACTCTCTCTCTAAAAAAACAACTGATAGTTTCTCGTTACTAAGTTATTTCGTTCAAATCTATACACTCAACATTTTAGAGTCGAGAATATTTTCATTTTTTTATCCGAATCAATAAGTAAATGCAATCATGTTTTTGCTTTTTTTGCGATTTGATTGATTGGAATTATCAAAGTTGGCAATGCACACTCAACCTCTTTTTTTTTTTATTCCCCCACCATGTATCTACACAAATAGTGACCTCTGCACAATATTATTACGTACTCTTTTTTGATTATTATATTGATGTCAACTTATGTACTTTTTTTAATGCTCTAAACATATTTCCTGTTTAGAAAAGAAAGAACTGAACTGAACATATTTTTTCAAAAAAGAAAAGGAAACAGATTGGTGTTTATATTCCTAACGAACCGAATGACTTTTAGGTTATATGACAAACCATGGTAACGTTTTTATAGTATTTATTACTTTATTCTTAACTTATAGTCGCTTTTAAAAAGTCATAATAAAAATGTCGTAGATAATTCTACGTAACCAGAAAAAATACAAGAAAAGAAGATGTGGTCTTCCATAACACTAATTTTAACTTAGTTGCCTCCCTTATCAGCTTACTTTTTGAGCAAAATCCCATTTTATTTTCCTCAGCCGAAGTGACAACAGGTTCTGAAATAAATGCTTTCTTATTTAATTTACTCGACTGTGATTGCTATGTAATTAGAATAGTAAATAATTGACAAAAGAATTAATATATATTGAATATTAATTTGATTACTAAATTTTAATTACTCCAAGTTGTTATTTACTTACTTTGACACAATGCCACAATTTTTGTGGCATTTTGTTGGATCGACCTCACAATTCAATACCAGACTAAAAATCGCTGTTAGTCAACAACTTAACACTGATGCGCCACTTTTTATTTACTAATAATCATAGCTTAGTTTGTTTTTTTTTTTTTTTTTTGTTGCTACAAGTTCACTAAAATGATGCGCCCTATTGGCGCAGACTTGGTAATTTTTCAAATTAATATTTACTTTTGAGTTTTGAACTATAGACACTTTGATAATTCTTACCATTCCATGGGATTTTCATCCAAGTTTACTTACTCGCATCATCCAATTTTCAAAAGTCAAATAAGTTACATTTAGTTAAAAAAAAAAACAACAACAACAAAAAACGCCCGAATTTTCGAAACATTTTTTTTTCTCGTAAAAAATATATATATTCTTTTTATTTTTAACTTATCTTCTTTAGATTGCTTTACTTAGACTTGTATTCTGAATGTTAGACATGTTAGGCTGGTAAAAGAACTGTATGAAAAAATAAAAAACGCAACGAAATTAAATTTTTTAGTTTTATTTGAAAGTGAATGGATGCAAAAAATCGCTACCCCGTTTTAAAATATTTGGCAAAAATAAGGGAATTTATTTAATTCAAACGAAATTCCATTTATGAATGATTCGTTTTGATTTTTTTTTATACTGAATAAATTTTTATTGGAATTATATTTATTGTTTTGTTTTTTTCGTTTTGGTTGGTATTGTTTATAAAAAAAATCTTTAACATTATAGACACTTTTTGTTTAAGACTTTTTTTTTATGAAACAGTAAGAGGAATAATTTTACTACGATTAGAACTATAAAAAGAAATTAATTCAAAACTAATTAAATGATACTTACTTGTGAGTTTAATTTATTGCCTTTATTTTATTTTATTTTTTAATTTTCTTACCTGTTTGATGTCAAAATATTGCACCTCGTGGATATTTTTTTAACTATTCTGATTTTAAGAAAAATTATTAAAGTAACAAAATTGCTACTAAAAAAATGGGGGAAATTGCTAAAAGTTAAATTGATAGCGTCAATAATTGGTTGTTTTCAGGTTAATTACGAAATTGTCATAGAAACTTTTAGACACTTCCAAATATTATGCAAACCTTTTTAAATACTTTGAGAATGCTATCGCTAGATTAAAAATATATATGACAATGATATTTTCAGCTTTTATTTTTATTCATTGACAAATGAAATTTACATTTAGAATGTTAATTTAAATAAAACAAAAAATATTGTAGAAATAATTTTCAGGTCAGTTACAACTCCCTTTAATTTCCAATGGCATCCAAGTGATATTTTTTATTTTATCTTGTCTTTAACATTATTATAATCCTAATAAAGAAACTTATTAAACTGAAAAAATGTGCCATGACATTGTTATAAAATAAAATAAGACATATCTCGGCTGATTTACAGGCAAATAAACTAAGATACTCAAGAGCGAGAGCCGGATGTGAATGGGACAAAGCCCCGTCACAAAATGACCATTATCTTCGTTTACGCATGTTCCCGACGCCCGAGTTCCGGTCGAAAAATAAAATAATATTTTAAAGTGTTTCTATTTTTCGACCAATAAAAATGCTTCCCTCCTAATTATACTAGCGTCGTTTTTCGAGCCTGTTAAGCCATTAAAAACGCCATAAAAGGGGTCACACGGAAGTACAACAACAGGAAGCCAGGGAAGAGACCTGTCACGGTCAGGCTAAGCGGCCAGCAGCAGTAGCGCCACGCCAACCAGCGAGAACTACTATGAGAGATCAACCCAGATCTTCAGCCGGCCTATGAACTATACCACAAGGTAGCTGTCCCAAAACCACACCTTCCTATTGAAATAAATCACGTAAATCTATTTCTAATGTTGTTGTATTTCTTTCTTGCAACCATACGCTTGTCTATAACACTGGTGTCAGAAGCGTACAGCAAGAGAAATATGGCCGACTACACGAGCTTCACCCGAGTCGAACTATTTACTCTCATCAAGGAACAGAAAACACTACTATTCAACTTGAAAACGGGACATAGTTTTCCGAAGCCACGATACAAGAAATTCAAGCCGGCATAAACGACATGCTGACTGCCCTAAAATCAACTACTTTAACACCTCCCACCGCTCAAACAAACGGCGATTACAGCTTAATGATGCGCCAACAAACTATACGCGACATATTGAATCTAGAGAGAACCTTTCACCCTGGACACGACGTGAACCGATTCATCACGGCTCTAAACAAAGCATACACAATCCACGTCACGCTAGAACTCAGCACCTATCCCAGCCTGAAATGTGAATTCGTCAATTCTGCTAAAGATTTACTGGACCAAAGTAACTTTCAGCAGATGGTTGACTCAAAAAAAGACATATCCACCTTCGAACAACTGAAGGAATACTTATTAGCAGCCCACGGAAGCCAGGTGACTAACTTCCAACACCTCAGTCAAGCCTGGGATCTGGAACGGCGAAAAATTAACAGACTTCGCGGGTCGACTCGAAAACACCCTTAGAGAGGCAGCCGTCCACATAAAAAAAAAACAAATACAAAAAAGACAAAAATACAGACTTAACAGTCGATGGACTTATTTCCATCATCGGCGCTATGCTAATGAGCGAAAAGGTGAAAATTTGGAACTCAAATCTTTACCCACATCTTGTCAAGACAATGGACAACCACTATTCAGACATTGGCATAGCCTCCGAAGCTCAAAGATACCTTGATCGCGGTGTAAAATCCAACGACACGACTTCGCACGACACTGTGTATTTCACACAGAAACCACAGCGGTCAAACCAAAGAAACGCGTCACTCCGACCCAGCAGGCAACCAAACCCACAGCAGACGGGCCTCACCAACCCTCCCGAACATGGCCACCATCCGACACGCAGAAACCATCAGCACACACCACGAATCAGCGTGTGCAAGAACTACCTCAGAGGTCGCCCCTGCCTCCATGGATGCCCCTGCCCATATCGCCACTCACCTCGCACTCGGGCACAGGCCCATATCGCCGCAACGAATGATAATATACAAGCCATAAATGATGTGGAACAGGATTTTCGCTTCGGGCAGGACGAGATGTGATGCCTCGTTCGCCGTGCCCCTACGTCAGCCATCACACCTTCAACTTTCAAGGACTCGCTCACCATTCACCGCTCGTCCAGTCCACCTTCAAC